ATAATTACTATAGGCATCAACCTATTGTATTAAATTTATTTGACTCTAGGAAGCTAAAACTGAGAAAGTGCTTGTCATTATCTAGAAAGAATTAAAATAACATTAATTAGTATAGCTAGTGTAATGGCTTTGTCATCATCAGGCCTGATGGTAAATTTTTTTGTCATCGCAATTTTTTTTTTATAGTAGTAGGCTACTCTAGTGTTTTTTAGAGCCTAGCTCCCCTTGTAATTCAGTGAAGCACATACTGAATTTTTTAATCCTGTTAAAGCCAGTTATTTGCCAAAGTACCAGTTACTTCTGAGGAAGGTTTTAAAAAGTCACTGTGTTTTGTCTACTTCTACATTCTGACAAAGTGGATAAGTATATTGAGTACTTTTCAAAATTTATTTTTATTTTTATCATTATAGCATTGTAATCACTTTCTGTGAACAGGAAGAAATAAAGTCATTTTTCTGGTGTTGCCTTGTTCCTTTGAAAATCTAATTTGATAGCAGGGTACTACTGGCTAGTGACTTAAGAGAAGGAGAAAGTGTTCAATTTGAAAACTAGACTATAGAAGGTCAAGAGATCAGGAAAGATCTGGGTGATTCTGAGCCATGCCATTTTTACCGTATGTTTTCTAGAAAGTGTTGTAGTTGATTCATCAACTAGTTTGTAAAATGGGAATTAAAAAAAAAAAAAACAACAACAACAACAAAAAACCCCCCACAAAGATGGGTTTCTGAATAAAATTTATAGTGATACAGTAAGAAAAGAATAAAATTAGATTGTAACTTTATAAAAGTGTTAGGGAAATTATATTCTTAGTGTCTTCTAGAACCAAGCGTGTTGCAGACTTACTAATCTTTTCTTCTAAGTTAAGTTTTATCTGCCAGGACAATTTGGTTCATTTGTACATTAGAACCCAAATATCATTGTTTATATGAATGATATGTAAGTAGCATTATTCTGTTCCATAGGGTCAAGAGAAATACGGATTGTTAAATGTAACAAAAATTACTGAAAATGGGAAAAAGGTTCGGTAAGTACACAAATCTTTAATGTTCTTACACAATTCATCTGATTGAAATGAGTGAAAACATTTATAAATATAATTATATTCTAGAACAAATGATTAAAAGGTTCAGAAGAATTTCTGATGTATTTTCTAGTGCTATAATGTATGTATGATTGTCATGAAATGGATGAAACATTTCCTTAGCCTTGGAATAAACCTGAAAATTTTTTAAAACAACCTACTATTTCACATGAATAACATTTTTTGAAGAAATAATCCTTTATTTTCTTTTTTTTAATCCTTTATTTTCTTAGACAAAATGTTTTCCATGGGAAGAAAAAAAATCGTTTTTGTAAATCTTTAATATTTGTCTTAGTGCAAGACAGTGAACTTCTTATGTCTGCTTGCAGTCAGTGTGTTGTGACATTATTTTGGTTAGAATATGTGAAAAGAATCCTCCCTTACACAGCTGACATTGGAAAAAAGAAAATTTTAACAGCCTTTTCAGATAATTGTGCATTTTTTTGCCATGCCAAAATTCTACAAGCAATAGCTTTTTAAACATTAGTGGCAGTGAAGACTGAAAATCTACCAACTTTTCATGCTCAAAAGCTACAGCCTTTGTTGCACAAATCTTCAAAATTTTATTGTCTAAATCTTGAACAAATCTTCGGCTATGCATAATTTAAGCATATATTGTGCATCGTTGGGAAGTACTCAGTCATTACGTGTTTTATGTATTTTCCAGTGCTTTGTATATTTTATTGTATTATATCAAAGAATCACAAATCAATGGTTATCAGAAAAGTCAACAGATATTAGGAAGTTATCAAACTTAAAGGGCAGATGACATGTTCTTTAAAGTTCTGTTTGAAAAGTTTAATTTTTTGTGTGGTAAGCACTAGTTGTATAGTTTTTCTTATTTTGAAAATTAAGAAAGTTTTTAAAAAGGAAAATATGCTAATTGAAGCATTTTTCCTTGTAGGGAATCACTAGATGGTAACTAAGAAATAGAAGCCTAAGAATACAAAATAAGCTCACAAATAAAATCAAGTCATTTCAAAATATCTTTGGATCCACACACAAAAGAATAACATAGTGGTAGTAGAAAAAAACACCAGATATGTCTATCAAGAGTATCAATAAACACAGAAAGTCTGTACCCCTCTATTGAAACACAGCTGCCTAGAGTGAAACATACAGTAAAACCCAGTTAAGTACTATATTCAAAAGAAATTAATTATCTTTTTTTTTTTTTTTTGTGGTACCAGGGCTCAACTCAGGAGCTTATGCTTGCCAGGCAGGCACTTATGCAGCTGAGCTATATCTCCAGCACCCTCAAAAGAAATTATAAATGATTTAGAAGATTTTTAATCCACAAATCTATTTTAAGATCGAAAAAGTAAAGCAAGGGGTAGGATCTTACCAGTAGACAGAGTTTAATCTAGACAAAAAAGAAAAAAAATTATGATAAATTACAGAATTATTCTGAAATCAAAAAATAAGTAAACTTCCTTTGGAATGGTTATGCAGATTGTACGAAACTAGCTATGTTTATTTGTAAGGGAAACTTTAATATATTACTGCAATAGATGTATTTTATTCTCCCAGCCACTAAATTTCACTTTAAGATAATTTTGTTTTCTTGTTTGCAATCACTAATCGTATACCAGCTATTTGAAAATTACTCTGCTGGGCTTAAGATAGATTAAAAAAATAAAATGAAAGTTTGCCTTCAAATAATTTAAATTCCAATAGGAGAGAAACATTAACCAAAAATCTCTAATGCAGAATTAAAGACAGTGAAAGGAGAAGTTGGATGGAATCTGGCCAATGTGTAACATTTAATAACTTTTAAAGTTCTCAGGACACTTCAGCATTTCGTTATGATTCTTACCTCTTTTGTCTAGAGACAGGACAATAAACAGGTGGACAGTTTGTCCTTTAATGGCTCCATGTACACCAAACTTTATAACATTTGTTACCTCTGGAGTATGGATTGGAAGAAGAGATATTTTTTTCTTTTACTTATTTCTGTAATCAGTGTTTTTACATATATGTATTGTTTTTTTTTTTTTTTTGAGACAGGGTCTTGCTTTATAGTTTAGGCTGTTCTGAAATTCATGGCTGTCCTGCCTCAACCTCTCAAGTGCTGGGATTATAGGTGTGCACCACAATGCTGGACTGTATTGCTTTTGTAATTAAAATTAGAAATTAAAAAAAATGCTAATCTTAGTAACTCTAGTGATCAATCAGTATGTAATTTATTGTATACTTATAATGTGTCTAGTGTCTGTTTCCTGTCTAGGGCATTCCTATTAGGGGAAGAGAGATAACCAAGAAATATAAAATAGTCTATATCTATGAACAAATGAATAAGGTGAACAGGTCTAAGTTTTAATTGTTAAGTAAGATTTCTTGCTAAGTGTGAAGTTCATTTGTGTGACTTTAATTTTGCTTTATTTTTTATGTATTTAGTATAGGGTTTTTAGGGTTTCACTACACAGATTAGACTCATAGTGATACTCCCTTTTTCAGCCTGTCAAGTGCTAAGATTACTGGCGCACATCACCACACCCAGTCTCACTCGCTGTCTCAGTGTGCCCCGGGGGCAGGGCCAACACAGGGTATCGAACCCTGTTCTCTTCATCTGCCTAAGCAGGAGCTTTAATCTGCTGCAGTATCTGGCTGGCCCTTTAATTTATTATGATTATTAATTTTAATGTATTTGGTTGTTACAAGGTTTCACTCTGCAGCCCGGACTCATAATGATCCTCCTGTTTTCAGCCTCCCCAATGCTGGGATTACAGGTGTATGCCACTATGCATAGACTCTGGCTGGCTCACCCCATTCTGGGGGTCGGGGCTGTGGTGCTGGGGATCAAACTGTGGTTCCTCTGCTTGCCTAAGCTTGGCTAAACTTACTCGGCTGGCCTATCTTACCAGCCCTTTGTGTGACTTTAAAATGGTGTCCTGAGCTGGGGGGATAACTTGGCATCTAAGCTTGCCTGCCTGGGAAGCGCGAGGAACTGGGTTCAATCCCTAGTACCATATGCCATACCGGACACTGAAACTGGGTGTGATGGTGCACCCCTGTACTCCCACTACTAGGGAGGCTGAGACAGGAGGATCACTAGGAGTCTGAATTGCTTAGTGAGACTTTGTGTCAAATGTAAATAAATAAACAAGGTGTCCTAATCATACAATGTGCTATATTAGTTCTATGTAAAAATAATTGGGTGTTTTGGTCATGGTTATTCTGGTAGTTTCTATTTCTGACTAGGCCCATTTGTTTTGGATCTTTTATGATCAGTTTAGGACTATAAAATAACTGTAAACTCTATTAGCCTCATATCTCCAGTGAAATAGGCAGAATGTCAGTAGTGACTGTAAATTGTAATATTGGTAACAGTTAAGTAGGTTTTGATATCTAAAGTTTGGTTGGAAGAATTGGATAGTAGAGCTTTAATTGGTCATCTTTATAATTGCAGAAAGAACTGGTTGTCTTCTTGGGCAGTGTTGCAGGGTTCATCTTTACTTTTTACCAAAACTCAAGGAAGTAGCACAAGTTGGGTAAGTATTTCTTATTTTTGGAGGCTTTATATGCTTAAATTAGGTGGATACTTTTATATTTGCCTTTCAGGAAGTTGTTTTGAGAGTCCTAGTTATAGCATGTATGCATGTAAAAATAAATGAAATTTTCTTGAAAGAGAAGAGAATTAGAAAAGTCTAATTAGTTATATTGTTAAAGTCAACAGATTTAACAGTACAGCTGAATGATCAGTTCACTGCTCACACATTATAAAACAGACATTTCTTGATTCACTTTTCAGAATGTCAGAGGTTTTGTGTTGTAACTCTTACTTTAGGTGTTTAGTCAGCATAGCTGGATGTTGCAGACTCCACCTTGTGTTATGATGTGACCCTTGTCACTAGTCAGTAATTCAGGTGTTAGTGTTTGTGTATGATGTCAGCCAGCTTTTAGAAGACAAAGATGTCACCATCACTCCTGGGGCTTTGATGGTTTTGTGTATTTGTCACTAGTGTTACTCTTTGGTTACTTGTAATATAAATACTACGTGTAACTTGTGACATACAATTGCTAATATGTTTTGAATGTTGAATAAGAACCAGATGTTCTAAGTGCAGAGGTTGGTGAATATCTTCTTAACTTTGGGAGAGCTCTGATTTTCTTCTCTAACTAACATAAAATGAGGTATTAAATAGTCTTAAGACCTTACCCTTACTAAGTGGCAGAGCTGGGTTTAAAACTTTGGCATTTTGGATCCATATTCTAAAAATTTTCAGTAATTGAGTTGAAGTGTCAATGTTCAAGTAAAAGTTTAAGTGAAATTATTCTAAATTTGTTTGGTTTCTTCATATGCTACCTAATCCAACATTTTCTTACAGTTACTGAGTTGCTATAAAATTAATGTAGGACCTATGGTTCATAAGTTTAATGAAAGAAATCCATTTATAAAATGTAAGCAAATTCTAGTCATATATACTTATAACAGTCTTGTAACATTGTTCAGAGCACAAAAGCCACATTGCCTGTTAGTTCCCTGCATAAGGCAACCTAAAATTACCTGTGAACATTCTAGAATATTTCTCATTTTATTTCTCTAATCCTTTGATTCACTCCGTATAGCCAGTACAGTGGAAATGACCTGTGATACACTTCCATGTTACGAGAATTTTGATTTTACTTAAAGTACTTAGATAACTAGGTCCCCCCCCCCCCCGTAAAGTGTCTGGTGTTTTTTTGTGTGTATATGTTAATGCATTTCTAAAGCACTGCATAATTCCTTCTTGTGGCTCAAATTTGGTTTAAAATTAAGTAAAGAAAACTAAGTAAAGTATTGGAGAAGCAACTAGAGATTAATAAGTAATAAAGTATCTGAAACAAGCCGCGTTATGCTCATTTATTTGATAATTACCAATACTTAGAGATTAAAGATTAGTGATATGTAAATACAGCAATGTGGGAAGGGAAGCATTATTTAGATAGGTGGGTTTGTATGTGATTTAAACAGAATGAAAATTTCCTTTTAAATTTAAAGATATCAAGTGAATACTCCAGCACATAATCATTAGTACAGGATGGTTGCATTTTACTTCAAGGTTTTCTTTAGAATTTATGTGGAACTCAAAGTGTATTAGTGCCAACAAAGGGTGCAGGATTTATTCATCACCTAAAATTATGTTACTATGTTACCATTGTTGGAATGGCAAAACATAGTTTAAAATTTACAGTGAGGTTGTAGAATTTTTATGGTTTTTTTTTTTTTTTTTCTTTTTTTGAGACAGGTTCACATGTTGTAGTTTAAGTTGATCTTGAACTCACAGCAATCCTGATTGAGCCTCTTGAGTGCGGGGATTATAGGCTTGCACCACTACATCTGGCTTTCAATTCTTAGTTCTTATTTTGTGGCTGGTTTGCTGGCTGATTGATTGATTTATACAGGATCTCACGATGTAGTTCAGGTTGTCCTTGAGCGCGCTATATACCCCAGACTGGTCTTGATTTTATGGTAATGCTCTTGTCTCAGCCTCCTGAGTGCTGGGGTTATAGGTGTGTACCCACCATGCCTGGCTGTGGTTAATTTTTAAGTCTCAGACTTATTTCCACATATTAAGAGAATGAAAGCAAATTTAAATGACAAAAGTAAATGCAAACAACACTACTTAAGTAAAAAGTATGGACTAATGTATATTTTGTCAAATATTATTTCAGAAGTATAAAAAATTGGTGAAATATGCAAGATCTGCCTGCCACATGTCTGTAATCCCAGAATTCTGGAAAGCTAAGGCAAGAGGATGGCAGATGTCAGCCTAGTCCCGGGCAGTTTAGCAGGACACTATCTCAAAATTTGAAAAAGTTCTACCTTCACTCCCCAGTACTATGCTTCCCTCCCCCAGAGGTCAGAGGATTAGGAAGAATTGTGGCTTTGTTTCTGTGCTCAGCTGGATCTGTTGCGGTGAAGGATATCCTGTTTTTCTGGTGGAACCACATCTTACTTTAGAATGAAAGTGTAAGGCTAGTTTAAATGCCTGAAAGATAAAATTCACAAGTACTATTTTGAAAGTGATTTTTGTCAGAGGCAGTCTTTTCCTTTGATGTCTTTCAGTTAGTAACTAGTTGTTAAGGGACGACATTGTAAGACAAGTATAGTTCTTTAAAAATTAGATTAATATTTAGTGTAAAAAGTGACTGAGATCCACTTGAACATTTAGGTAAAATCTCATACACAAGGGCACGTGCTCAGTGATGAGAAGCTCAGCAAAATGACCCACACCATTCCAGTTACATTGATTTAGATAATTCATGTTACTTGTTTAATCTATGCAGAGACTACTGAGTAGTTAGAATCTAGTAAATGGATTATTTGAATACTGTAAGAAGAATGTGAGCTAATGCTTTGGGGCCAGTCGGTCTGAGAAGTCCATCAGAAACCTACAGAAAATGTGAGACCAGTGAAGAGCACATCTTTCTCACCTGCATCCCTGTGAACACATCTCCCTCAGACGACCTCAGTGCCAGGGATTGAACTCAGTACCTTGCATTTACCAGGCAGGTACTTATGCGGCTGAGCTACCTCCCCAGCCAATTTATTTCATTATTTAATGATATTCCATGTGTGAATATACATAGTAGGTTCATCCTCACTCCTAGCAGTGGGCATTTAGTTGTTACCAGGATGTTTGCCTTTCTGAACCACACTGCTGTGGGTAGTTTTGTACTTTGTCTTGCTCTACAAATGAAAGTGTTTATCTTGAGTATTTTAAAGGGGAGGGGAGGCTTTCTTAAAAAAAGAACAGTATTGATCACATAAAAGGGTGGTAAATTGGCTTTATTACAAGTAAGAAATTTTGTTCTTCAGCAGATACCTTAAAGTAAAGAGACAAGTTATAAGCTGGGGGCCAATATACAAAAATCAATTATATTCTATACCTTAGCAATCAGTCATTTATAATACACATTATAAATATAATATACATTATAAGGAGGATTAGTAACAAGAATATAAAACTACTCCTAAAAATTGAAAGGAAGGCTGGCCAAATAGCTCAGTGGGTTAAAGTGCCTGCAAGCAGGCACAGGGGCCAAGGGTTCGATCCCCTTGACCTGCTGTGCCAGCCCCACGGAGCGTGCTGATAGGGCAATTGAGACTGGGTGTGGTGGTGCATGCCTGTAATCCCACCTCTTGGGAAGCTGTAAACAGGAGAATCACTATGAGTCCGATCTAGTAGTGAGACCCTGAACACCCTGTAGACCCTTTCTTAAAGAAAAATAAATAAATAAATAAATAATTGAAAGGAAAATAGCCACATTTAAGTAAGTCATGAATCAACATTTTGCATGTAAAAATGATATTGAAGGCCAATAAACATAATCAGTGATGTAGGAATTGCAAATTAAGACTATAATGAGATTTCATTCTCATCTGTTAAGTTGTCAAAATTGAAAGAATGACAATACCTAGTGTTGGAAGGGATATGGGTCCACAGCCTCTCTGAGATGTTCTCTTACTGGTATTATTGAAAGCATTTTGTCTTTTTGTTCTAAAGTCGAACACTTATATCTACACTGAGCAATTACATATCTACACTGAGCAATTACATTTCTAGGATGTAATTATTTCACATAAAAATAAGTCAGTATTTTTATTTCACATAAAAATAAGTCAGTATTTTTTTACCTGCAAATACTTGTTTTGGATCTCTCTTTCTAAGATACCCCTAAAAGTGTGGTGTCAAGAAACTGGGTGGGGGGGAGATATTGAACAATAATGTTATCACCAAAGAATTCATGTGCAGAATATAGGGAAAAAGTGCCAAAGATCAAGTAGAAGAAAGTAAACACCATCATGGAAAAGGGAGCCAAAGGTATGAAGGGTAAAGTATGGATGAGCACAAATGACTAATAAATAAATTTTACTTACCCTAATGAGTGGTTAGAAAAAAATGCAGATGAAAATCATGAGATTCTACTTCATATTTATCAGACAGCAACAGTAATATGAAATGTAGGTGAGAATTTGGTACTGCAGAACTAACTTCCATGGTGGTTGGATGTGTGAATTTGTAAAACCAATCAGGAGAAACTCTTTGACTTTACAGAAAAGTCAAAACAGGCATAAACAAATTTAAATATAAATCCTAGGAAAGCTCTTAGTTGAAATCACAGGTGCATGCAAGACAACTTGTGGTCACAATTTGTAGTAACATCAAATTGAAATAACCTAAGAATCCATAAATAGAATGAATAAGCTACCTGAATAATAATCATAATGGAGTATTTATAGAATGGGACCAGCAAACCTTTTCTGCAAAGGGCCAGACGATAGATATTTTAGACTTCAGAGGCCATAGTCTGTCACAGCTCTTCAAATCTCCCTCTGAGTAGGAAATCATCCACAAACAGTACTTAAAAGAATGAGCAGGATTGTGTTCCAATAACTTTATTTACCAAGAGCAATGGCTAGCTAGCTTTGGCCCACAGGTCAACATCTGCTTTACAGAAATGAGAATAAATCCACTAGAGTAACATGTCACCATGAATGCTGATCCCACAAGTAGGACACAGGGTGAAAAAACAAGTTCCAGAAAACAATATATGTATATGCCTTTTATGAGCTGAATGTCTATGTACTTCGCAAATTCATTTGTTGCAACCACACTCTGTAATTAAGAGGTGGGGCCTTTGGGGGGATTAGAATTAAATGAGGCCAGGAGGGGAGGCCCTCATGAATGCAGTTACGCCCTTGAAAGAGTTACAAGAGCTTGCTTGGGCTCTTATTCATATGAAGTCTGTGGTCTGCAACCCAGAAGAAGGACTTCACCAGACCTTGACCCTGCTGGCACCTGGATCTTGAACTCCAGCCTCAAGAACTATGAGAAATAAATGTATGTTGTTTGGAAAAAAAAAAAAAAAAATAGAATCTAGTAAGTGAAATACGTGTATGCTGCCTGCAGCTCTACAAGATTTTATCAACCAGAACACTAGTGAGCCCACCCTTCTCCTTCAGGATAGTTTTCTGGAAGTCCTAATGATATGTTGGATTATTCTATCAATAAAATTAACTTAAGCTTCCATCCCCATCACCTTATGTCGCCTCAAAAATGTACACATTTGTTTGTTTAGACCACGTAAAACTTGGAATGCTGTGAGCATGTTTTCAAGCTTGGGAATTTAGAAGTAAATTACATGGGCATTGTCTTCATTTCTTCCATCTAGTGAGGACATCTGGCAAGTGAATAGTTACATGTGATAATTGTTCCTCCATATACTTTGAGTGTGGGTTTTTTTTGTTTTTGTTTTTGTACCTGGGATAGAACATGGGCCTTGTGCTTGCCAGGTAGGCACTTATGCTGCTGAGCTATCTTACCAGCCCTTGCACCTCATGTCACCCTCTAAATACCAGTAGTTATTCAAACATTCCATATGCTTTTGGCTATCTATAAATTACCACTTTGGGACAGAGAGTCTTTATGATAGATATATGGGGAGGGTACACTATGGATGTTTAGCAGATGAACAGCTCTCACACCTCCATTGAGAGAACTGGACATTGCTAAATGTTCCCTGGAGGACAGAATCACCTCTGTGCTAGAGAAAGGCAAGCAAGTTAGATGGGGAGGCCACTCCCAAGAAGTGACTAGGGAAAGGGTACCAAAGAACCTTGCCCAGAGGTCCAGCGGGAGGAGGCCTTATAATTCTTGAGCAGTAGACTGAGCAAAGTGGCAGAGTCCTTTCTGTTACCTCTCCAGTATTTTGTGAATATAGGCTGAGACAAATTTATTTTAAGATAAGTTCTGTAACGTATTCATCTTAAAAGTAAAGTACAAGTTTATGTAGTAACAAATTTAGAAAATACTTGAAGTTTAGCTTTGCTTGTTGTTGTTGGCTTGTAAAATTCTTGTCCCATCTGGTTTCATTGTGTTTTTTCTCTTGTGTGCCACTTGTCATTGTGCATTGTTATGACATCATTTTCTTCCCTTTTCCTATCAAGTCGTTCTGCCAACAGGGCTCAGTCTCTGAGTTCTTGCTTTCGCTGCTTTCTTCTTGGAAAAATTCTGTCAGTCGTCGGCCTGCTGTCGCATATGTAAAGTCTGATCCAGTTTCAACTGTTACTGTATGTGTTCTTGTTGCATACCCCTTGCCACATTTTTTTGTTTTTTGCCATGATTACATTGGCAGGGAAGTAATAACAGTAAATTGAATTAGATTCTGGAAAAGCATGAATAGCATACAAAATTTGTTGCCAACTTTATTGTTCACATTTTTTAGCATTCTATTTCATGGTATATTTACATTTAACTGGTTAGTTGTATCTTATATAACCATCTGTACAGTGTATAATGACAAATGAATTGGTTTTTGTAATGCTTTTGAAATGCATATTCAAACTTTATTATTTTCAAGATGTATCATTTCTGCTTAGGCTATTACTTGTGCCCATCTTATGCCCATCGTAAGCAGATGTACCATTTCTGCTTAGTTTCTTCTGCCCATGAAATTTATCATTATTTGAATATTTCTGGATGCCATTACTTAAAATGGCAATCAATTTGTAGGACGTGGTTAAAGTTTTGTTATCTTTTTATAATTGCATTGATAAAGTCCGTGTTACTCCTAAATGTAAAGAAGTGCTTTAAGTCCACACTACTAGCTAAATAGATGCAAAGGAAACAATTGAAATATAACCATTTCTTAAAAGTTTTAAAACATCCATCTCAGTACCATAGGAGTACCATTTCTTTGTTCATAGCAGATTAACAGAAATGTAAGTAAATGAAGGCTGAATACAAAATTAGTATGTATTTAATGCACACTGTCTGTTTGCTAACACTGTCCTTATCTGCCTTGTACAATATAATAAGTAAGTGCTTTTTTTCCCCTCAGCCAGGCATGTCAGAGCTGTCTCCCCCTCCTTTTCACAGTTAGCATCTGGCTTTAGTTAAAATTTCTAACAAGGGCTAAAAAAAGATGGGGCTTAAGGCTTTCTGGTTTTACAGTTTAGTTGTTGACAACATAAATAACTGATAAGTAAATAACTTTTGAAAGCACACTAGGCTTAGAGAATGTTTATTAAGTGAAAAATGTACTTTGTATTTGGCTGATATTATTTTTATGTGTTTAAGAATATTGCCTTGCCTTTTTCATAGTGTTAAGGTTACATGCCCCATACAGTCAGAATAAATTTAAAGAAACACAACTGGGGCCGGGGAGATGGCTCAGTGGAATAAGCACTTCCCTGGCAAACGCAAGGGCCTGAGTTCAATCCCCGGTTCTGGAAAAAAAAAAACAAAAAAAAAAAACACCACAACTGCTAAGCCAACATATCCTTGTTCCTGCCAATTTGCAGACAGTAGCGCTATCAGTTCTCCCTCCCTTGGGCTATTACAGTTTATACCCACTTGCCTGTGAAGGCCTGTCAGTTTCTAGCCAAATTTTTCCCACTTTGAAAACCAGATTTTATGTGGCCATATATAAAAAATGAGTCCCTTATAGAATAAAAAAGTTTTAGAAAAATTAGAAACAATACAGAAATTCACTAAAGAAAATAATAAGAATTCAACAATGGTTGCTATATTGCATGTCCTCATATAAGTTCTTTAGATTACAGATATAAGCATGTAAAATTGGTATAAAAATTGTAAGAAATTAAAAAGAAAAAAAGTAAGCATTAACTGCTCCTTTTGCCACTTTTATTTTTATAAATTATACATTTATACTTCCAGACATTAATTTAATTTAATTTAATTTAATTTAATTTAATTTAATTTGGGTATAAGGCATTGAACTCAGGATCTGGTGCCTGCCAGGCAGGTGCTGCGCTGCTGAACTATTTCCCCAGTTCACATTTTTCAGTTTTAAAGTAGCAGATTTTTACACTACAGAAAGAGAATTAATTCAAGATAATCTTCCATTTGACTTATTATTAATATTAATACTAATTCTTTCTAAATACATATGTATAAATTTCATATAAAGGCTTTTTCTCTTTTCTAAAATGAAGTTTGGGAGTAATCAGTCCAAACCAGAGTTCACAGTGGACCTTAAGGGGGCAACAATTGAGATGGCCTCAAAGGATAAATCCAGCAAGAAGAACGTATTTGAGGTAATAACTTTTTTTTCTAAACATAACTCACATTCTAAACCATGGTTATTCTCTTTTCTTAACTATAATTATTCTAACTATACTCTTTGGGGAATAGTGTTTCATATACTTGTCTTGCAGTTAAGGTGAAATTGGTGATTAAGTTGAATTATGCCACAGTTTAATGGGGGAAATGCAGTATAAAAATCAGCTTCATTTTCATAAGAAACTGTAACTGGAAATGTATATTACAGGCCTTTGTTTCGTAAATCCTACCTTTCCTATGTAGTAATAAAGGTGATACGGATCCCTTTCCCTACCAACTCTAGTGTTAAAAAATAAATTAAGGGAAATACTGATTTGGGGAGGCTGTGCATATATTGGGGCAGGGATACATGCCATGTCTTGTATACTCTTTCAGTTTTGCTGTGGACCTAAAACCAGTTTTAAAAAATGAAACCTTAAAAAAATCAGAACCTTTCTGCTGTTTAATTCAAAACTCTCCACAGTCATATCTGATCCTCTGTCATTTATTATTATGGTATGTAATAGACTACTTCAAAACTGCAGCTTAGCAAGAGTGCCATTTCTTTCTTCCTTTTGGCTGCATTGCATACTGTCTTCTGTTCTTACTTGGGACTGTTGAAGAAGTCTTAGAGAAGCTGGATGGGCTTGTAAGGTGACCTTATTCATGTGGCTGATGGCAGTCTACCTGATGGCTTGTTTTCTTTTCTCTGTAACCTTTCCATTCGGAAGGAAGCTACCCCAGGCTACTTCACGTGGCAGTGCTCTAGGAATATGAGAATTGAACACCATAGGCTCTTTTGTAGTCACTTTTAGATACCACACTTGTGGTGTTCTGTGAGCTAACACAAGTGAGGAGGCCAACCAAGTATTTATGGTTAGGAGGAAATAAGTCTAGAGGAACAGTAGATCCATTGCAGAAGATGTACAGAGATTGGAGGAATCTTGGGCAGTCTTGCCTCCTGTCTTGTCCTCTAAGCAGATTGGTTTACTTGCTATTCCCCAGGTAGCACTGTGTGACTATTACTCTTCCTTCTTTAGCTTTTAGTACCAGCCCATGCTAATAGGTGCTCATCAGGAGTTACTTTCTTCCAAGATGCATGACAAATGCTGTAGCAATGATGTTCTTTTTTGAACTTTAAAACTAGTATTTTAGTGTACTTTGAGTTTTCATTAGATTATTAAAATTTTTTTTAAACAAATTAGCCTTCAAGTAGAGACACTATGTTTCTTTAGAGCCTCCAACAAAGATCATTGTACACTGAGCATTCAGTTTTGGTTGATTGGTTTGACCAACTCTCTAGAAGGATACATGAAAGTCGCTGTTTCCTTATTTAACTTTGCAGTTTGAGGAGGTCGTTACAGAATAAAAGAGATTCCATGATCAGATAAATTGGGGAAGTAGCACATATTTTATCCCTATCTCAGAAAATCATAATGCACTCTAGATATAAAAGGCCTGAGGAAACGTCTTGCTCGACTTCCTTTGCTCCAGTATTTTCCAAATTATTATTACATAGTATTTCAAATTTATTTTTGAGGGATATCTTTATCAATTTAGATTTTTTAGATTTTTTTATTACTGTGTGTTTGCATTGCACAATGAATATGCTTATCATGAGTTGATATACACATACTGCATCTTAGTCCTTTTTATGTCCCTTTCCTGTCTCTTCCTTTCACCCTCCATCCTTAGATCCTTTTGTCATCTGTAAAAATTCTGTCTCCCTGGTTCCTAGCATGTCTTTTATTTTACCCTTTAAATCATTTATACTTCATGTTTCTTGTATAAGTGAACACATGCAGTATTTATCCTTCTTTATGGCTGAGTAGTACTCCATTGTATATATATCACATTTTCTTTGTCTGTTTGTTGGTGGGCAGATCGGCACTTTTCAAGTTTTAGCTGTTGTGAGTTGTGCTACTACAAACATGAGTATGCATGTATTACAGTAATATGATGTATTTAATTCTTTTGAAAAGTTATCCACAAGGGTTATAGCTGTGTCAAATGGCATTTCCATTTTTAGTTGTTTTTTTGAAACACAGTTTCCCTATGCAATTCAGCCCTGCCTTGAATTCACTTTATACCCCAGGCTGGCCTTGAATTTGCAATGATCCTCCTGCCCCAGCCTCTGGACTGCTGGGGTTACAGGCATGTGGCATCATGCCCAGCCTCTGTTTTTAGTTCTTTGAGGAATTTGCATAGTGGTTGTACTAGTTTATATTCCTATCAGCAATATAGAAAGGTTCCATATTCTCCAGTCTCGCTTGTGTTTCTTTTTTAATTCACATTCCTTCTAGAAGGAATAACTTTCTTAAATATTATTTTGGGAACTGTGATTGAAGAATATGCTTGCAGTGTTGCTTGGGAAACATCACTATATGTTCTTCTAGGAAAAGCAAATTCAGTTATGAACCAGAAAATGCAAGGAATGCTTTCTATAACTGCCTCAGAATTCTTTCTCAATGAAGTGTAAGAAATGTTAAACCAAAGAGGCTATATATGAATTATTTGTTGTTCTCAGTTGATAGTTTGATAGTTTAGTAATAGTTCTGCCCAGAAGCAATGTTATATTTATTGTTAGTGCCTGTCTTTGTGCTCAGCCTGTATGTTTGCCTATGTAGTAGGAAATAATAAACATCCACCCCTAGTATTGTTTAAATCATATTTTATTAGTATATTTTAAATATACATACTGATCATCTTCAGCATAGAAATTTGTACCTGTACATGTTATAAGTTGCTTTTTTTCCTGTTCGCCTACTCTTTTTAACCCCTTCCCCTCCTTTCTTCATTTACAAAAACTTTATTTCCATTTTTTCCTTTTCTAAATTTTTAATTTTTTTTTTTTAAACTTTTCTCTTCTTTCCTTTCCCTCTTCCTTTTTCCCACTCCTTGTTTGAACATTTTCTTCCTAGTTCATAAAAACCTATTCTATATTCTGGTCCTTATTTGCAATTTCAGTTTCTCACACCAGAGAAAGAATGTATTTACACATGTATGTCCAATTGATTTTCACTTCAGAATACCAGGAGTGGGGGGTGAGGAGATGGGGGATGGGGCTGGAAGAGGGGGAGTATGGTCTCCATGTGCCTTGATTTACCTGAGAATATTTCAGGCTTATCCTTAAAGGCAGGATAGTACTCTGTTATGTAACAAGACCACATCTTCATATCTTCACGAATTTATGGACATTTGGACTGTTTCCATGATTGGGCTATTACAGACTGCTGTTATAAACATGGATGTGGATCTAGCACTATGGTATGATGCTTTCAGTTCTTTTCAGAATATACTCAGAAGGAGAATAGCCCGGTCAATGGGACCTTTAGTCTTAATTTTTTGAAGAATCTCCACACTGATTTCCACAGTGGTTGCACCAGTCTGTACAGTCTGAACTCTCACCAACAATACAGAAGGGTTCTTTTTCCCCCCAGCCTTTCCAATATTTGTTATTAGTTGATTTGTTGATAGTAACCATTCTTTCTGGAGTGAGGTGGAATCTTGGTGTTTTAATATGCATCTCTTGAATGACTTGTGATGTCAAACATTTTTCATATATTTATTTGCTGATGTGTATTCATTCCAGATTTGGATTGAGTCTTTAAATGTGGAAGCTGCTTGTGTTTTGCATTCTTTGTTTTTGATAGTAACTATCTGAGGAATAGCTAGCAAACATTTTTTCTCACATTGTGGGTTGTCTGTTTACTCTGTTGGTGGTTTCTTTTGCTATGCAAATGCTTTTTAATAAGATGAGATCCCAGTTGTTGATTTTTTGTGATAGTTCCTGTGTGATTGGAGTTTTATTTATAAAGTCTTTGTACATACCAGTGGCTTCAGTGGTTTTATCTATTTTATTCTCCAGCAGATTTAATGTTTTCTATTTTAAAATTTAGATATTTGATCCATTTCAAATTTAGTTTAGTGCACAGTGAAATACATGGGTCCAATTTTAATCTTTGGCATATGCACAGCCAGTCTTATCAGCACCATGTGTTAAAGAGGCTGTCTTTCTTTCAGTGAATGTATTCAGCACCTTTGTCAGAGATAAGGTGGCTAAGTATGTTTGGAGTTGTTTCTGCGTCTTCTAATCTGTTCCACTAATCTTTGTGTCTATTTGTTTGCCAGTACCATGCTGTTTTTAATCACTGTAGCTTTATAGTATAATTTCAGTGCCACTTGTCTTTCCTTTGTTGCCTTTGTTATTGTTATTATTTTTGTGGTACCAGGGATAGAACTCAGCACCTTACGCTTGCCAGGCAGGCGCTTATGCCACTGAGCTATATCCCTGGCTCTCCTTTGTTGCCTTTGCTATTTTAGGTCTCTTCTGGCTCAAAATAAATTTTAGGATTATGTTCTGTAATTCTGTGAGACATGCTGTTGGAATTTTGGTTGGAGTTGCATTAAATCTGTATAACAGTTTTGGAAGTATGACTGTTTTCACTATATTGGTTCTTCCTACCCAGGAACAAGGGGTATCTTTACATTTTCTGATACCCTCTTCAGTTTCTTGAGAGTACTATAATTTTGAATGTAGAGGTCTTTTACTTCTTTATCTTCATTAGATGATTCCTAGGTATTGTGAAAGGTGTTGTTTGCCTAATTTCTTTGAGTGAATTTGTTATTCCTGTAGAGGAAAGCTATAGATTTTTGAGTGTTGACTTTGTATCCAGCTGTGTCACTGAATTTTATTACTAAATATAGAAGTCTTTTGGTTGTGGTGTTTTTACCCCTAGTCTTTTTTTCATATTTATTTTTATGACCAAACAAGGTTCTCAGGCTATATAACATATTTCTTAACATCTCAATTTTAATTTTAAGTGCTTTAGTACTTGTTTGATATAGTCTTATTTTTAAGTAACTTGTACCAGCCTCAGCAAGTTTTATGGAATTTGTGTATTGGAGATTGGCATTCACAATTATTAGATGCTCATTAAGATTTTATTGTGAAAAACCTCATGTCTTATAAAATAGCTAAATGTATTATTTTATACTCGAAGGTACTCCATAGGTGTATAGTAGTATTAATCCATGACCTGCTGGCATTTTTGTAAACTTGGAATTAAATGTGTTCATTTACTTTGATGAAAGTTCCTTATTGACCATACTCTCTTTCCTTCTCTTCCCTTCCCTTGCTCTTTTTGCTAAAGCTGAAAACTCGTCAAGGAACAGAACTTCTAATTCAGTCTGATAATGATGCTGTTATTAATGATTGGTTTAAAGTTCTTAGCAGTACTATCAGTAACCAGGTATGTGTTTTCTTAGGTAAAATTTTACTACAGAACTGTTTTTCTTCTGGTTTTATAATTGCATATTGAATATTTAAAAAGACATTTTATTTTTACAAAGGTGGGAAAGACAGTAGCCACTTTAGTCCAGGCCACAAGGGCTCATGATGGAAAAGATTTAAGATTCTTCCTTGAATGAAGTTCATTCTTCCAATGAATTTGAGGTTTATTACATTAGGCATTGATTGATAAAGAAATGGTTGTAAAAGAAGGGACAAACAGCTCCTAATACCTAATATTTTTCAGTGACTGAGTTGAAAGTACTTACTGGATGGTGCAACTGTGGTCCTTTCATTGATTCTTTTCTAATGACCCCTCTCCAGTTTCTCTGCACCTTTCCTTTGGAAGGTATTCAGTACCCTTCTGTTGCTGGTAAATTTCTTGTTTAGATAACAATCCAAAAGAACCTCATATTTATATTCTGAACCGGTGCTAGTGAGGATGGTAACTCTGGGAGCTGGACATTTTTAGATTCTAGTCTTATCTTTTCACCATGTGGGCACCTGGCTCCTCATTGAGGGACACATATCCGTAACAGATGATATTTATGGGAGCAAAGGGGAACCTTTACCTCTCCTTGCAGTTAGCTGTGCAGCTGTGTATAGATCAAAACAGCCTTTACAGCTTTGTGATATTGTGTGATATTTGTAAATCTTCCTTTGCATTTAGTCCTGAAACTCTGGACGTGTCTTGTCTTTATACCACAGTGAGAATAGCAGAATTTTCTTCAATCTTTTCCCTCATCAGTCCATTCTTCATGCTGTTGTTATGTGAAACTTTGTAATGTCAACTTCTGCTTTGAAACTTTCTGTGGCTCACATTAAAATTCAACAATTTAAGTTTAATGTAGTCATAGTAAGATCTCAGTTCACGAACTTAATTTTTTCCATGGTTCTGATTGCAAACCAAATTGGTCATGAACCAAATCAAATTTCTCAATAAGGTCAACATTGAAGCTAACCTTTGAATTTGACTCAGTTCGCCACCAGAATCATGGAAAGAATTAAGTTTATGAACCAAAATACCACTGTATTCATATGTACCTTCTATTATTCCCAGTGTGGATTTCCAATAATCTGTCCACTGTCCTTGCATGAATATGCATGCATTCATTTACCAAAATATAAATGCCTTCTGCCCTGGGCAGTTAGCAGGCAGGCAGATACCATATCTTTCTCTGTGGAGATTACAGTCAGAGATGAATACAGGACAGATAACTGAACAATTAATGTGATAAATGTAATGAATGTTAGGATGTAAAGTTGTACACCATAATCTAAAACTACTGATCAAAGACCAAGGTAGCATAGTAGTCTGGGAGGCCATGCAGGGAAAGTGCTATCATATGTTTTATTAGAGGCCTGCAAGATTAAGAAGCAGGCCAAGTAAAGAGAAGAATACATTATTATGAAATTGTAGAATGCATATTCTTTGTATAGTGTCAAAAAATACCAAGAATTGTACGTAGCAAAAGATGTGGAAGATTTCTCAAAGAAAAGTATAAAACTCACTTGCGAGACACTGAATAAAAACTTAATTAAATGAGATGTATATAATGTTCATGGACTAAAAGAAGCAATTATGTAGATTAATTTTCTTCCAGTGATTTGTAAACTTAAAAATCCTAGTTTTTCTGGTGGATCTTGACAGCTTATACTAAAATCCATATAGAGGTGCAGAAGACTAAGAAATGCCCAAGAAAACTCTTCTTTTTTTAAAAAAATATTTATTTATTTATTTATTTATTTATTTTGGCGGAACCAGGAATTGAACTTAGGCCTTTCCGCTTGCCAGGAAGCGCTTATTCCACTGAACCATCTCCCTGGCCCCCCAAGAAAACTCTTGAAGACAGTAAAGGACTTGTATCATACGTCACATCTCATAAAGCGGTTATTAGTGCATTGTGATATGCATGCAGAGATAGACATACATACCTGTGCAACAAAAGTAGACCCTCACATATGTGGATTCTTTATGTTGGACAAAGCACTGTAGGACAGCAAGGAAGAAGCTTTTTTCAGTAAATGATGCTGGTACAGCTGGTTATGCAAGAAGAAATATGAATCTCCTTATACCAAACACCCCCCCATAATTCAAATAAGGGCCTCCATGTGAATGATTAAAAAAAGTTTCTAGCTTTTAGATCAGAGTTTAGTCTAGTTTTAACCTCTAAAAGTTACCCTCATTGGACTAGGATGAATTCTAGAATTTATTTCACTTCTAATGTCCACATCTGTGAGACTTAAGTCTTACACTTTTATCACAATATAATGCTGTTGTTTTTATATTGTTGTTGTAGAAATTATAGTTGCTACACCCGTAAGTTTTACCTTTTGTCACAGAATGTAGTGGTATTATGTTTTATCACCATGAATTTAGCCTGACCTTCTAAGTGCCATTAGTGCCACTCATACAGTGGATCATAAGACATGATAGTCTCACAATCTGTTTAAATTATTGTTCTGTGAGTTATCAGCTTCTTCATTTCTCAGGTCAAAATTAATGCCATCAAGAGGGAAGATATTTTAAAAGATTTATCAGATATCTAAATCAAACAAACCATATACTAATTGGTTTCCTAAAATCATAGATAATAATTACTGGTTGTTCTAAAAATTGTGCTGTTTCCAATGAAGTAATATAGTAAGTAATGTGTGTATGTGGGAAACCTCTAACCAACAGGCAGTAGAAACCGATGAAGCAGTAGAAGAGGAGATACCAGATTCACCAGGAATAGAAAAGCAGGATAAAGAAAAGGACCAGAAGGATGTTAAAAAACTTCGTTGTAAGTTGTTCTTTACTTATTTTGCTAATGAATTTGTTCTCATAGATTTTTCTGAGGTTTAAATAAATATATACTAAAAGCAAAATAGAGCCTCCAATGTTAGGAAAAGTTACAAGATTAGGTACAGTCCAGTGTTTCTATATTCTTGTTAACTCATTTTATTGTTCAACCTCATGTTATGAATCTCTCTGGTATATTAATTTTAAGGTGTGGCAATACTAGAAGAGAAAATTATTATTATACATTTCTGTAGTGGCCTTTAAGAAGCTCAGCTTTACTGACTTAAAAAACGTATAGTTTACTGTTTAAAATTCCACATAGACTCTTACACTTTCAAGTACAGAATTGGAGCTATTACCTTAGTTCCTAGCTGAATACTCTACAATTGTCTTTGGACTAGAATGTTTCCGTACTATGCACAGATGCATGGTTCGCATCTCCAGATCATGGATACAGAAAGGATCAGGACAAAGCCAGCAATGTGAAGAAGAGTACTTACTAAGGGAGTATGTTACTGAATAGGCCATTGGCTATAACTCTGCTCTTAGTTCAGTGTATTTTATCTAATTCACATGTTCAAGAACTGTTCGGAGGGCTAGCCAAATAGCTCAGCGGATTAAAGCACCTGCAAGCAGGCGCAGGAGCCAGTGGTTGGATCCCTGGGCCTGCCATGCTGGCTCCATCCCCGGGGCGTGCTGAGAGGGCAGTTGAGCCTGGGCATGGTAGCTCACGCCTATAATCCCAGTTCTTGGGAGGCTGTGAATAGGCGGGTCACTATGAGTCGGATCTAGTAGTGAGACCCTCTACACCCTTCCCCAAATACAAAAAAAAGAACTGTTTGATCTTCAGATTAACTGAATGAATAGAAAATCAGTTCTTCATTCTAATAAAGATTAGGCTTATTACTGGCAATATCACTGTGCAGCAATGTCAAAGTGAGAATCTAATTATTTTTATTTTTTATCAGTATATTTTTGTGCTCTCAGCTTTACTAGATATACTTGCTTTTAAGAAATACAGATTTTAAGCTTTCATTATGATTGATAAATTAGGACATTTTCTAAGTTGTTCTGTTTTTTAAAATTAATTAATTAATTAATTTGGTATAGGGTTTTGCTCCGCAGCAGACTCATAGTGATCCTTCTATCTCAACCTCCCTGTGTTGGGATTACAGGTGTGCGCCACCATACCTGGTTTTGTTGTCCGGCATGGTGTGCCTGGGGTTCCAGGGTTGGCATGGCATGCAGTTCTGGAGATTGAACTCGTGACCTTGCGCTTGCCAGGCAGGCGCTTAGACCACTTAGCTATCCCCAGCCCTTTCTGTTCTTATAGTTAAAATATATTGTGCATTTTAGCTCGTAGTACAAATATATTATCAAGACTCCTCATTTAGTCAGATTGGAAGTTTTATAGATTTTATATGTGTAGTCATTTTGCCTTCTAAAAGATAAAGATGGTGAATCGAAGAAGATAGGTTGAATATTTGTGAAATAATGAGTATAAATTAGAATCACTTAGAGATGACACATACCCCAAAGAAGGTACAGGTATAGATAGTTTTTATTGATAGAAGTGTTTTGCTGAAACTTGTTTGTGTTAGTTTGTTTCTTCATGTTGTTCTTAAGCTACATCACAGTTGGACTAACTGAATTTGTGTTTTTTTAAAATTTATTTATTTATTTTTTCCATAATTTTATTGGGAAACAAATAGCAATGAGACAGTTTCAAAACAAATTAGTAGGACAGTTTCAATAATTAATATGGACTAACTGAATTTGTATTGTGATTTTTGACATGAAAATGTTTTCAGTGCTTTGTGAAAAAACTTATACCAGAAACAGTTGTATGAAATGTTTAATGTGTGTCTGTCTTCAGCTATGAAAGTATCTAGCATAGATTCTTCAGAACAGAAAAAAACCAAGAAAAATTTAAAGAAGTTTCTTACACGACGCCCCACTTTACAAGCTGTCCGTGAAAAAGGTTATATTAAAGGTAGGTAGGATAAGTAATGTTTATATTAATGCATGTTGGTCATAATCATAAATATTTAAAATTAAAAACTGAAAATTTTCCAAATAATAAAAGCATTCTCATTGTATATTCATAAACTTTTCAGATATAGTTGTTGGAAGACATTTTGAATAATCAAAATTGATTCTTAAAACATACATGTAAGGTATAAGTTTACTTTGACTTTCACAGAAATACCAAATTAAATTTTTATAAACTTGCATCAGAGGAGTGATTGAGATATTTTTTAGAAGGTGAGTGAATGAAGAGTCTTATTTTTTTACTGGGAAGATTAGAAGTTAGAAATTTTGAGTAAACCATATTAGTAGAATGAAAAAAAAAAAGATTAGATAATTTTATTCTTGACAGTTTGCCTTCAGCTCTCTTAAAATTCTTGAAA